GACTACACCACTATATTACAACAATTTAAAATACCCCTGCAGGCACTGGACGACAACATGACATCATATTGATGTTGTACCCCTTCGTACTCAACATCGTGGGGACGTTGGATTTTGTTTGGAAATTAAAATTGGGTTGACGTCAGAACCCAATGTCAATGTCCAACGTCCAACCTAAAATCAACCAAATATCACTGTCTAATTACAGCTTGACGATGTATGGACATTACTATGACGTCTATCAGATGTTATATTTTGGTCACTTTCCAATACAACCTGAAATCATCCAAATATCAATGCAATGTAATGTTGTAATTGGACGTCAAAATAACTTTGACACTGGCTAGACATTGAATTTTGGTCACCTGATGTCATGACCTAAATCAAACGTAATAATAATGTCTTATGATGATGTGTGCCTGCTGGGACCTTATAACCTACTCTTCAAATAAATATTTAAATGAATATCTAATACATGCTAGCAAATAACATTTGATTCCTTTGACTGACATGTTGTCATCTAAATCTAACAATTGATATAATTATAAATTTAAAGTTACTTTAAGGTGCGAGACAAAATGAATGTTATTTTGTTGAGATTAAGTTAACATTAGTGTGTGAGTCAGTAAGCGCATCTCACTCCAAATGTGTGAAAGTTGGCAACTATGTAACATCTCAGTGACAGATTATATATAGGGTAAAAAGAGAAGCAGAACTAGGCAGTGTGTGACAGTATGATTGAGGAATCTTTAACACTGCTGACTTACACGTCATAGTTCATTTACAGTCATTCTGTGTATGTATGTATGTACTGTATTTATTTATTAAATGTCTGCATTAAACGATATATTATTGGGTCCTTATATTAATGACATTTATATTATTAATAATCAGAATATAATTTCAGCTATTTATACATATGTAATTAAGCTAAATGGCTGTTTAATATCAACTGAAATTATATTTGGAAAGAACAAATAAATGAAAGAACAAACATACAAAAATAAATAAATAAATAAATAAATAAAATGGCAATATAATAATTATTATACAAATAGTTTTCCTCTACAGTGAATATTTACTGTAAACATAGTTTGGCTTAAACCATAAACTACAAATAAAAATTATGGGAAGTGACCAGGGGTGAACTGGCCATCAGGGAGTTTTCTATTTTTGGGTCAATATTTCTTTTTGTATTGTATTGTATCTTATTGTATTGTCATGGATGGAATGATGGCTTTATTTATTTATTTATTTAATTGTTTGTTTGTTTGTTTGTTTATTTATTTATTTTTAGTTAGTTAGTTTATTTATTTATTAACTTTTCTATTTAATGTTTCCATTAACAGATTTATTAATGGCTTGCATGGTAAAAATATTTGCTAAATTGTTGTTTACAATTAACAGAAATAAAATTTGGAATGAAAGAATGAATGAATGAATGAATGAATGAATGAATTTAAATAAAAAAAATCATAAAATAACAAAAATATATATATATACATATTGTTGATCAATATTGTAAAAATATTTAGTAAATATTTTTACTTTACAGATTATATTTACTGTAAAAATTACATTGCTAATACCCTAAACTATAATACAATTATGGGGAATAACCAGGGTTAGACTGGCCATTAGGGAGTTTTCCATTTTTTGGGCCAATATTTCTAATACCATTTTTGTCTTTTCTGTCCAAAAAAATCCATATCAGCCTATTTTTTTTCTGCTTGATTAGTTGAAGGCACTGAAATCTTTGCGGCAGTGTAATGTATTTGTCAAAAAACTTTGACAAAGACATTTTTCCAGACTGGCCAATTAGTTTTATCTCAGTTTTTTCAGCCTGACCCAATCACATCTTTTAACCGCTCCTCTTTTTTGCTTTGTGCTAATGTATTTAGGGAGTACCTGTGAAATCAGCCAATGAGAGATGAAGAAAGGTGGAGCAAAAAAAATTTTTTTTTAAATCAAGCAATAAAAATAAAGTATTTGTATGCTCCAAATGTTACCTGATGTTCTATCAGTCTAATTACTTTTTTATATCACATTATTTGTTTGCAGTTTCAAACAAATTTTATGATCCAATACAACACCACAAAACTTAATTGCAGAAATTGTTTTCTATAACGTCATTATCAATTTTATATCTATATTAAGACTACTTAATAATTTCCCAAATAAAATAACCTTTTTTTTTTAACTTATATTTAATCACAATTTGTTTACGTCAAACCACAATTTCAATTTATTAATTTTTGTTTTGATCAACTCCATAAGTTTTGGTAAATTATCCCCAGAACAAAATATACTTGTATTATCTGCAAATAAAATAAACTTAAACTACTCTAATATCTTACAAATATCATTAATGTAAATTATAAACAATATTGGACCTAAAACTGATCCTTGTGGTATGCCACAATTTACATTTAGATATGACTATTTATGGTTGCCAATTTCCACAAACTGTTGCACCATCTTTTAGTTATTCCCCAACCATATTGTTGTGGTCGTGTTGTGATGAGTCAGAAGGCGTTGAATCCATTTGCAAGCTTTATTAAGAGCACACATACAAACAAACACAAAGGGGCAATCCAGGAGACAGAACGTGGGACAGGCAAAAGTTCAAAGGCAGGCAGATATCTTACGAGTCAGAATAACAGGCTGGAGATCAGGGGCAGGCAGATGTCTTTCGTAATCGTAGAACAAGCACAGGGTCAGAAACACAGATCAGTCCGAAGCAGGGAGTATGGAACGCTCAGAAATGACAGCCAGGCAAATCAAGACTTCGCAACGAACCGGAGCGTGAGTGTGGTATATATACACGAGAGCTGATGAGTTGCACCTGGACCGTAATCAGTGCCAGGTAGCAGGGCTTATGGGATTTTGAGTCCGTGAGTCGAATCAGAATTCTGGCGATGGTTCCCTCTGGTGGTGCACAAGAGGATTGGCATCGCCCTCATTTACAACAGGTCGCCAGCTGTGTTGCCATCACGTGTCACTGGAGATCACTCATCCAAACTACTTATCAATTGTACATATCCCATCCTACCTTGCATTCACACACCTGTTTCAAGTTCGTCCTGATTACGCACACAGTTGAAGGACATGATCACTAACTATTTGGATTATAAATACACTTTTCATTTAAACATCCATTGCTGAGTCTTGTTAGTTTGTTGCTGCAATTACAAGCGATTAATCTTGTTCTTGCCATTCTGTCTTTTTTGACCTTTTGCATAGTTTATCGTTTTTTGATTCCTACCCGCCTGCCTTGACCTTTTGCCCGTTATTCAGATTTGGATTGTCTTTGTGATTTGGTTTCGACCCCTGCCTGTCTGACCATTCTCTTGCATTTGGATCAAATGCATGTCTTCACGTCTTTTCATTTGCAAAAAGTAGTATCAGAGAATAAGTTGACAATGATGGCTTCTGTGTTTTGGAAGTGGGTCATTAGGTCTTTGGCAGTGATTGTGAATGACCGAGGTGCTGACGAAAAACAAGACTCATTGTTCTGCACAGTTTCTGCCTAAACCAATAAACCTTTTCAAAGGACAGAGCTCATGGCCAACTTGTGTCAGAGAAAGTCATCAAGATTGTGTGATTATACTCTAAACAGAATCACTTCACCTCACACTCTTTGTCCTAAATCAAACATGAAGAATACACAACATACATGACTATTCAAAATATCAATTGTCAGGACAAGGAGAACATTCCCATTTATCTCAACAGCATTACTCATGCTTGTGAAACTAAAAATATTGGATTAGCAGTTCAAGTGTGCTTCTAGCGAATTAAAAAAAAAGGTCCTGGCAAGTAATATAATATTAATTATAAAAGGTGTCTATAAAAAGTGTAGCTACATAATTAGTTACTGTTACATGTGGTGTTTACTCCGGTTCATAATTATTACTTTTAATTGATCTTGGTTGTCTATTTCCCTTTTCAGTTTTCTATTGGTTAATTTGTTGATGTCTCTCCTTTATACTTTTCTTTTGACATTTGTTTGGGGTAGAGAGCCCTCCCCTGCTTTAGGTTTGTTTGGTTGTTATATATTATGTTGTTGGGCTCCGCATCTTATGTCATTTTTGATTGTTTTGCTGATTATGTTATGTTAATAAATAACTTAGTTGGAGCACTTTGGCTGTTCTTTATTTATGTTACGTTCCCAGCAGGCACACAACATCATAAGATGTTAATATAAGGTTAGATTTAGATAAAAATTCAATGTCTAATCAGCGTCTAAAGATGGTATTTTGATGTCCACTAACGATGTTAAACTACATTGATATTTGGTTGATTTTAGGTTGTGTTGGAAAGTGACCAAAGTTCAACATCTGATAGATGTTATCGTGGTAACGTTCATACAACGTCAGGGTGTAACATGATTAGACATTGATATTTGGCTGATTTTAAGTTGTTTTTAGGTTGGATATTAGACACTGACGTCAACTCTATAGTTAATTTCAAACAAAATCCAATGTACCCCATGACGTTTGGGGTACAACATCAATATGATGTCATGTGCCTGCAGGGTGGTTTAGAATCACAAGTCGTATTTAAGTAGGGACCGTAACAGTTCCACATACATAAGAGACGTGTTATAATAGAAATAGTATTAGACTATATTTCACTTAAAATGAAAATCAGCACACAGTATTATGAAACTACATTAAAAAACACATAAGTTAATTGCATTTAACCCAAACCTTACAATAATATATATATTTCATTTTTATTTGTAGAACACAATAAAGTTTACCAAAACACTGATTTTAATTCACACTGTTATTTTTAAACATATTACAGGTTTAATAATTTAAATATACATTTGATGTTTACTTTTTCACAAAGACATAATACATACGAATGTGGAAGTACATAAGAATGTGGAAAACCTTTTTCAGCAACCTATGAATTTTACTGGAATATTTGATGTAAATGATGATATGAATGTCATTCAAATGTTTATGATTCGAGTAAAAAAAAGAGTTTACCACATAAGAGATTGTAGACTTCAATGTTCTCGAAAGGAGGCACAGTTGTATTATAATGGATTCCTGGTCCATATCCAATGAAAATGGCCTGCAAACAGATACATTCAGGTAATTAAATCAAACAAAAATAGCACTCAATATACTTTGAAAACATTTGAACAATTTGTTTGGTTTTGAACAACTTTTTTGGTAACCATTTACAATATATTAACTAATGCAGGAAAAATTCACAAGTATTATTTAATTAATTAATAATACTATATTCACATATTTCTTAATAATAGTTAATAGTCATGTGCCAAAAATTAAAGTTATACCATAATAAAATTGGCTTTACTTTACATTATGTGTACTTAACATGCACTTACAGTGTACTTACTGCACCTAAAAAGAACTGTTTATACAACACCGTGACAAAAGTCTTGTCGCCTATACAGGTTTTAGGAAAAACAAATAACTTGACTTTTAGTAAATCATTTGGTATCAGAAGTGATGTATATGAAAGGCAAAGGCCTCTAGATTACGCTTATTTTACCAAAATAAAATATGATCATGGCTTAATTTTTAATTATTTAATTAGAACAGTAAGGTCTGACTTTGCTGAGACAAAAGTCTTGTCACTTAACAAAAATAATGTACATTATAGAATATAAAGTCATGGTGCAATGGGAAAAAAATGAATATTGTGTACGACTCCCATGAGCTTGGAGGACTGCATCCATACATCTCTGCAATGACTCAAATAATGTATTATTAAAGTCATTTGGAATGGCAAAAAGTGTTCTTGCAGGACTCCCAGAGTTCATCAAGATTCTTTGGATTCATCTGAGATTCAATGCCTCCTCCGTCTTACCCCAGACATGTTCAATAAACTTCATGTCTGATGACTGGGCTGGCCAATCCTGGAGCACCTTGACCTTTGCTTTCAAGAACTTTGATGTGGAGGCTGAAGTATGAGAAGGAGTGCTATCCTGCTGAAGAATTTGCCCTCTACTGTGGTTTGTAATGTACAAATGTCTTTATACCTCAGGCTGTTGATGTTGCCATCCAGTCTGCAGATCTCTCGCATGCCCCTATACTGAATGTAACCCCAAACCATAATTTTTCGTTAACCAAATTTTACTGATTCTGTAAGAATCGTGGGTCCATGTTGGTTCCGGTAGGTCTTCTGCAGTATTTGTGATGATTGAGATGTAGTTCAACAGACTTTCTGGCATATTTCAAGTGAAGCGAATTTGCTATTTACATGACGACTTTGTAAGTGGAAAAACTGAACACTTCACAAGCAAGAAAACAGTTAAACAGAGCATCTGCAGCGCGAGAATGAGAGATAAATGATTAATTTTCACTTTCGCTCTCGTGAATAGGGAAACCTTGTAGAAAATGCACAGAAAACGAATAAATGAACAATAATAACGAAGTGTGGTCAAAAAACTGAGTTATATCCTAGTACACATGCTGTGCCCCATGTGGTCTAAAACCTGACATGTGGACAAATCCAAGCTAATTTTTTATAAACATGGAAATAATAAATGATACTGCTAATAATGATAACATTATACAAAGCAAACTGAATGAACTTAAAAAGCCTCCAGAGATGAAGAAGGCATGAAAGTATGGTTTTTAAATTGATGTAGGCTAGAAAAAAATACATTTGCTATTTAAACAGCGTGGCGTAAAATTTCAAAACGATTTTTGCGCCGAGCTGAAACTAGCAACAATTACTAACAACTAATTAATTACTAACAATTGCACCAGATGTATGATAGGGCCCTAAATGTGTTAGTTACTTTAAGGACGCAATGTGAATATAAATGTGCTATGTTATCTTATTGTAATTTCCATTTTTTTTTAAAGAGATAAGTAGACGTAAAATTGTAAAATATATTTTTTTCCCAATTTGGGATTGACGACAAGGCTTTTGTCAGGTAGGGTTTTCTTTTTCTTTTGCCACAGGCTTTTCTGGAGTTAAAAATGGTATTGGACAGTCCACATGTGGGAGCAACCAAATCAACTTTTGCCTCAAGTTGAGCTAAACCCGCTCTCGTTTACATGTCTCAATTACATGTATATTACAATGAAATGTAACTGATTTTGCTTACAAAACTGAAACTCAGTTGTATGTGCCAAAACTTTCTTCAGTTAAACAAGGTGATAACTGAAGTCCCTGCATTTGGTAACAGAGATGAGGTTCTCAAGGTGAATGCGCACCTTAGTTCTAAGGATCAAACAACAAAAAGTAAGGTCAAGAATCTTGGTGTGATTCTGGAGTCAGATATGAGTTTCAGTAGTCATGTCAAAGCAGAAACTAAATCAGCATACTACCATCTCAAAAACATTGTAAGATTTAGATGCTTTCTTTTCAGTGAGGACTGAGAGAAACATTTTTATGCTTTTATCAGCAGCAGAGTGGATTACTGTAACAGACTCCTCACTGGCCTTTCCAAAAGACAGTCAGACAGTTGCAGCTCATTCAGAACCAGGATTCTGACCAGAACTAGAAAATCAGGGCACATCACACCTGTCCACAGGTCTTTACACTGGCTTCTAATTACATTCAAAATACCTTTTAATTACTTTACTTTTACACCTTTTACTTTTACATTACTTGTCTGTAAATCACTAAATGGCCTAGGACCTCAATACATTACAGATATGCTCACTGAATACAAAACAGATCCCTCAGATCATTAGGATCAAGTAAATTTGAAATTCAAAGAGTTCAGTCAAAGCAAGGTGAATCCACCTTCAGCTACTGCACCCCCGCTACTGAAATCAGAAATGATCAGATGTGCTCCAACATTAAGCACATTCAAATGCAGGCTGAAAACACATCTGGTTAGCTGTACCTTTACTAAATGAGCACTGTGCTATATCCCACAGCTCACACTATTATGACTTTCTTTTCTTTTTCCATTCTTTATGACATGTTTTAATACATTTTATTGTGTTAATCATTGTTATTTTTTGTTTATACTTGTATCTTTTATTCATATTTAGGTAAAGCACTTTGAGTTGTTGCTGTGTATGAAAAGTGCTATAAAAATAAACTTGCATTGCCTTGATAATATATTTATTTATTTTACTTTTGGTCTTTCATAATCAGTTTGTATTTAACAAACCTTAAATGCCATAAATTTTGTTAGTGCGTTTGCATATTTTAATTTCTGCAACTTCAAATAAAGTTTTTTTTGTTTACAAACACTGATAAATTGTGATCTATAACAAGTGCTGTTAGCCATCGCAAGAAAGATTTGAATATATGCTGATCAAAGACCTTAAAAAAGGAAGTCAGGTAGTTGGGAAAAGACTGGTTTTCAAATGCCACTGCACATTTTGTTTTCTAATGGAATAAAAATCAGGCACGTTTAACTGTGGCTTTAGTGTCCAAGTACTACTTGGGGCCCCTGGATACGTCAACCAAACGCCCACAGTACAGCTCCAAAAACACAGACCACAGATAAAAATAACTAAAGGCCCTTATTTTGATTTGCAGTCACAGAGAGACACACATTCCTTACGCCTCAAGCTGAAAGATTTCTGTTAGACTGATCTCATTTACCTGACACTAACTTACAAAACCCAAAATGATCCTCATTCCTCCTAACAGGAGATTTAACTTCATTAAGGTGGCCTAAAGTAAAGCTCTCCTGCCATAATAACCATCTCAGTGGTTGTTTGTGAGATTTACCTCAACAAGTTATATCACAGTCTCTAAAGAGTTCCGGTATGAAGACTTTTGTAACCCATACCAGCTGCATTAAACATTCCTAGACAGCCACACAGACCAGTGGGCACAGATGGCTGGAAATACACACATACACGTCACAGACATGAACAACACTCTGCCAATGTTCAAAATGTGGCTCGCATGTGTGTTTAAAGAATAGTTCTCTAAAAATGAAAATGTCCAACCTTTTACTCACCCTCAAGTGATAACAAACATTTATGAGTTTCTTTTTTGAAAAGAAGGATGGAAACAGGAAGCCATTTAGTTCTTTGCTATTTTTTCCTCTACCATTCTTCAAAATACAATCACCGGCCACTTTATTAGGTATTCTAGTACCAGAGTGGACCCCCATTTGACTTCAGAACTGCCTTAATCCTATGTGGCATAGATTCAAGATTTTAGTCCATGTTGACATGATACGCAGTAGCTGTTGCTGCAGATTTGTCCAGATTTGTGAGCTGAACATCCATGATGCAAATCTCCCTAGGGTGCTCTATTGAATTGAGTTCTGGTCACTGTGGAGACCATTTGAGTACAGTGAATTTATCGTCAAGTTCATGAAATCAGTCTGAGATGATTTGTGTCTTGTGACTTGGCTGCTGCTTTTCCTGCTGAAGTGCACTGTGGTCATAAAGGGATGGAAATGGTAGACTGTGACATTGACAAGATGCTCAATTGGTGCTAATGAGCCTAAAGTGTGCCAAGAAAATATCTCCCAAACCATTAAACCACGACCAGCAGCCTGAACCATTGCTACAAGACAGGATGGATCCATCCTTTCATGTTGTTGACAGCAAATTCTGACCCTACCCTGCAAATGTTGCAGCAGAAATCGGGACTCATCAGACCAGGCAACACTTCTCCAATCTTCCAATGCTTAATTTTGGTGAGCCTGTGTGAATTATAGCCTCAGTTTCCTGTTCTTAGCTGACAGAAGTGGCACCTGGTGTGGTCTTCTGCTTCTGTAGCACTTCCACCTCAATGTTGGACATGTTGTGCATTCAGAGATGGTCTTCTGTATACCTTGGTTGTAATGAGTGGTTATAAAGTTACTGTTGCCTTTCTATCAGCTGGAATCAGTCTGGCCATTCTCCTCTGACAAAAACAAGGTATTTGCGCCCACAGAACTGCCTCTCACTAGATATTTTCTCTTTTTCGTATCATTCTCTGTAAACCCTAGAGATGGTTGCGTGTGAGAATCCCAGTAGATCAGCAGTTTCTAAAATACTCTGAGCAGCCCGTCTGGCACCAACACCCATGCCACATTCAAAACCACTTAAATCACCTTTCTTCCATATTCTGATGCTTGGTTTGAAGTGCAGGAGATCATCTTGACCATGTCTACATGCCTAAATGCATTGAGTTACTGCCATGTGATTGGCCGATTAAAATTTTGCGTTAAAAGGCAGTTGGACAGGTGTATCTAATAAAGTGGATGGTGAGTGTATAAATATTGTGCAAAAGTCTTAGGCCTTCAGTTACATTTGTTGTTCTAGTGAGGGTATAATGACATTATATATTGCTTATCATTCTCGTTATAAAAAAAAACAGAAAAATACAGGTTCTAGTTGGTCTAATTGTTTAAAACATAAGAATGAAAGAATTAGAGTAAGATGGAAGAATAAGTGAAAAATACTGGAGTTTCTGTCTAGGTTTGTTCTGCATTTTTGCCAGAGCTTTTGTCAATATTGCCTAAATTGATTGGATTGTGAATGCTGAAAAGTACAGACAGGTTTTAATTCATCATTAAAGGTTAAAACACACAATTTGTTATAGTTTTATTTTTCAGCATGATAATAATGTCAAACAAACTGCTAATGTAAGGAAATCATATTTGCAGAGAAAAACAGCTGATGAAACAAAGAAGACAGTTATTAAATGGCCTCCACAGAATCCAGAACTAAATATTTTATACAGTATGTGTAGACAAATTTATAGGCAATATGAGTTTCACCTGAAGTGAAAAAAGAAGGTAGAACAAAAGTGTAAGGAAGAACTGAAGAAATACTGAAAGATGCTTGATAATAAATAACTCAACAAAAAAGTTCAAGAGCTTTAAAGAGGTCATGTTAAAGTCTTTTCATCGTAGTCTTTTAACTTAAAGTAATTTTTTTTTCTGTTCGTATATTGAAAATATAGTTCACCTAAAAGTAATGACCCTGCACTAGCTCTATGCATTTTAGATAAATAGATTTGTGTAAAAGTTTTAGGTTCCCAAAAGCGGGCAGTGGTCCAAAACATGTAGTATAAAAGGAGAGTATTTTACATTTTTGTTAGGTTTTTTTTTTCATCTTCAGAGTGAATTTCTTACTTTGTAATGGTTATTTTTATGTAAAGTTATACTCATTTATATGAAGCTTAGTTATTTTTTTGTTGGCACAACTCTAATACCATATAAAGCTGCGATCCAAACACTTTCTAGTTTGAAGTGTGAATCTGGCACTCAATGGATGAAAGTTCATTTGAGGGGCATGTCTTAATTTTTTCTCCATTTATTTTTTTTTGTTGAAAGACCCAGGGTATTGTAAGCCCCATGATGGGAATTTACCTAGATCCTTTAATATGACTTCAGCATAATCTCCTTCTAAATACGTGGTTTCTAAAACCTCATTACATTCAAGCAGGGCAATATTTCAGCAGTCTCAAGCAGAAACTGGAGATTATAATGCTAATTTGCATTCATTACAAATATGCATTTTTTTCTGGATTTAGTGGATAATGCTTATTTTTGTGGATAAGGGTTAATGTGGATGTGTGGAAAGAAAGCTGAATGAGGAAAAAACGCTGGAGCAAACATAAGAAGTAATGAAAAACTGATTGCTGCTCTGCAAAAAAAAAAAAACTAAAAAAATAAATAAAATATCCCCTTTACCAAACATTATTGACTTTATTTAGGTGTACAAAAAAATTAAATGTACAAAATGTGAACTAGCAGTGTATTTCAAATCTCAAAAGTATTTTGGCAACTTTAGTGTTTGAAAAGAGTAAATATGCATGCAAGCTTATGCATACTCATCAAATTGTTTTAACACTGAGGAATTATATTTATATTTTTCAGAATTGTGATTTTACCTTACAGTTTCAATGAAAAAGACAGTAGAGAGTTTAGATTTTGCAATTCTAATAAAAATATTACAATTATGAGATACTATACTGTTAACGGTTTTGTAAATTACACAGTATATTACATAGTAAAACTGTAACATGAGAGTCACACCTAGGTTACCCCTTTTTTTCAGATTTAATATAAGTGTTTTGCGTCTCCAGAATGTGTCTGTAAAGTTTCAGCTCAAAACACCTATCAGGTTTTTCATTATACCTTCTACAAGATTCTATTTTATACATTTTTGCACTTATGTTTGTGCAAAATGATTTGTCGTACTGCGCCTTTAAGGCTAGTCTTCCACGTCAGACAACAGACAGACTTAAAGGAGAAGATCTCACGTAGCGTTTGTGAGAAATACAACAGTAAGAACTTTACCAATGAGTATTTGTTGTGCAGTTGCATCGATGAGTCACACACATTGTCGTTACAAAGTTCACGCGCACGCACACACACAGATACACACACAGATACACACACAGTGCAGCAGACACACACACAGACAAACGGAGTGCACGTTTAGCTTTGCACTTTTTTTGCACGCATATGTGACAGGATACAGGTTAATCTCCACTGCTGTATGGATATCTGTTATGTTAATGTACAAAATAAACCTGATTTAACATCCACAAACCAGGACTAAAGGCTCTTTCTTTATAATTGTTTTGAATTGCAGCTGTACTAATATAGTAAAGCTGAAGTAAATTGCTGTAATTCATTACACACATGCACTGTTTTAAAACATTTTAAACTTGTGAAACTTACTCTTGATTTCTTCACATTTGATGATGATTGATGATCCTAGCAAACTGAACAGACCTTTTATTCTCGGTTGCTTTGCGGACGTCTGGTCTTGTTGATATGATTATACATGTGACTATCGGGACATGTTAATACGCGCAGCTGTCAATCAATTCGATGGGCAGGGGGACTGCACTTCTACGTCAAGTTGCGGTCAATCTAAAAATTGCTCCAATTGGTCCACCGTTTTTATGTTGCTAAATTGGAAAAAAAAAAAGGGACTGGGTGTGTTTATATCACCGCAATATGACGGTCTTTACACTATATTTACACATCTTTCTGTCCAAACAGCTTGAAAAGTAGATTTTTCACCAAAGGTGCCCTTTAAGCTGTCATCACCAAAATGGCTAAAAGACAAAACTTTTAATTTCTTTCCCTCAGCTATTAAATATAAGTAATGAACTTATTATGTTTTTTTTCTGGGAATAATATGTTTTAATGGAGCTGTTGACATGGGGATTGAACCAGGTTTTGGTAAAAACCCAAACAATACAAACATACAAATAAAAAAACTAAAAATCTAGAAAATCTGCGATGTGTAACAATGGAATGACACAAGGAGAACGTACTGAGCTACTGAAATGTATTTAATACTTTATAGAAAAGGCTTTTTTTGTTGATGGCAGCTTAAAGACGACTCTTATGTCGAAAATGAAGTCACATGCATTCCTCAGGTGGGATTTTTTTTCACAGACTTCAACAGAGGGTAAAAATCTTAATGTTTCTGTGGGCCTCGTCTATCAAATCTGATCTTTGTTTTGTATTTTTTTTATTGGATTTGAGTCAGGCTGGGCCATTCCACAGATTGATTTACTTTCTTTGAAAGCATTTGAGAGTTTCCTAGGCAGTGTTGAACTAATGAGAGATTCCAGCTGCTGTCTGGGCTTTCATTGCCTTTCTACACCTCCCATTCATCATGTATTTAATACTTTTTTCCTGTGTCATTTGTATTACTCATAACTTAATTTGTAAACCAATTAGTTTTCTTTTCTTTTGTTTTCATACATGGACTTCGTTGGTTATTATCAACATCAGGTGAAAATTTCAAATCAGCAGCACCTTTGGAAATATTCTGAGAAAAATTATGACGTGTTCAATACTTGTTTTCCCCACTGTATTTCCAATGATCCTGTGTTAAAATGTCTTATTTTGAGTGCTTTTTGTGTGTTGCTTTAGTCCAAATAGAAATGTGCACCAGAATTGTTTGATTTTATTTAATCCTTAACATGCAAAACAATGCAAATCAAATGTTGGAATAAGACACCAATTTTAAACACCTACCTGCATGTTCTTGAAAACATTATCTGAACCATGGAAGCCCCCGCGGCAGTATTTAATTTCACTTGGTTTGCTGTTGAAAAACAAACAAACACAAAATGAGTACAATTGTCACTTTTGAGGTCTTTCAAGGCAAGTGAGTGTAATCTTCTTAAAATCATCAATAGCCAGTTTAGATTGCAAGTTGTGTCATTACAAACAGAGTTTGGTGAATCTGTTTTTCCAGAATCTATCAACTGTATATATGCAACATTTCTGCAATGTTTTGCATATAATGTAATTTATTTATTAATTTTCCTTCGACTTAGTCCCTTATTTATAAGAGGTCGCCACAGTGGAATGAACCGAAACTGTTCCGGCATATGTTTTTATGCAGCAGATGCCCCTCCAGCCACAACCCATTGCTGGGAAACACCCATACACTCTCACATTCACACACACACACCTAAACAATAGGGCCAATTTTGTTAACCCATTTCACACATAGCACATGTCTTTGGACTGTGGGGGAAACTGGAGCACCCAGTGGAAACCCACGGCAACACTGGGAGAACAACTCCGCACAGAAATGCCAACTGGCCCAGCTGGGACTTGAACCAGCGACCTTCTAACTGTGGGGCAACAGTGCTAACCACTGGGCCATCTTGCCGCCTGTGTATAAAGTAAAAAAAAAATAAAAATTTTGTACAATTTTACAATATTTGTACAATTTTTCTGAAACCAAGTGTAATTATTACATGACAAATAAATCAAAATAATGGTCATTTCACGGCCATATATCTGATTGTATAAAATATGTTATTGTAAGTGGTTTTATATTTTGTTTACAATAGTAAAATAAAATATTGAATATTCTCAATATTTGGAAAAGAAAAAAATTGACTGTGTCTGCAGTGTTTAAATGTGATTGGTGAGGTAAACGTGAGGTTTTTGAATGAAAATCAATGAACTTAACATATATTTTGACACAAGAATAATAAAACTCACAGTGCTGCTTGCCACTGCGGCTGCATGTACAGATGTGCTCTCTCAATGCGGATGTTCTTCGCAAAATGAAGCCGTTTGGGCAGATGCTCCTTCAGATACGGTTTCATCGGCTGATTCGGTTCTCTGCACTTCAAATACAGAAAGACAAAAAAAATTATACAGTTGTCACAATGTTTAACCAGAACCTATGGTTTTTAAGGAAACAGTTCACCCAAAAGTGAAAAGTCCGTCATCATTTATTCATCTTTCACTTGTTCCAAACTTGTAGTAAGATAAACAGAAGAATGCAGGCCATTGACTATCATAATATTGTTTGTTCCTACTATAGAAGTCAATAGCTGATTTTTTTCAACATTCTTCAGAATATCTTCCTTTGTATTCAACAGAAGAAATAAATTCATAAAAGTTTTCAACCATTTGACTGTGGGTAAAACTAATTTTGCGATGAACTGTCCCTTTAAGTTGGGTGAGGGATTTTGAGACAGGGTCATACCGAAAGATTCTTCACCAGGCCTTCATAATCAACTGCCAGATGAATACAGGACAAAAGACAGAGATTAAAAAGTAAATTTGATGGACATAACACTTACACAAATTAATAACTCATAATATTTAAAGCTGAAGAAACACTCAAATAGAAAGAGAATCAAGAAGTGATGTGTGTCAAGTTAAATCTGTGCACGTACAGGAGAAGAACTCCTCAGGCACGTGTCGCGGTCGGACTCTCGCGGCAGGACCCTGGATCACAGTGATGTCATTGATGTTGTCCAGATAGTTGGAGACGTAAGCAGCTTTCTTACATGACGCTTCTTCCATTCCTGAATGTTTCACAGACACAGAGTAGACCAGAGTTCGACTTAATGACACTTGTGTGTTTGATATGCACGCTTTTTTCTACCACAGCATTAAAAAAGGGGAGTTTATGTTTACAAAATTTTGATTGTGAACTTCTAACTTTTTCTTGGGATATTTAGTCTATGTTTAAAATTTTTTTTTAAAACCAAACTGCTACCTTAATGACTAATACACAGCATATTACTTGATGCTTCTTACATTCCTGAATGTTTATATAATATTGGGTATTAAGTATTGAGCTTATTAAGTCAAAGCAAACGTTTTTATAGCAAGAGAACTGTACCTTAAAATACAGTGTACATCCTGGCTTTTTGTTAGAATTTACAGTTTATGTGTGAAAAAGTATACATGTTTATACTTGTATATGTTGTAATCGCCAGTAGGACTGTCATACCACGCGACTGGGGATTACTCCACATATTACCTGCATCATCCTCCCACACTACAAATCCCATCATAACTTGCATTCATACACCATTTGAAAGTTCACTCTGAATATTCATAGCTGAAAGACCCTTTCCTCCCTTTTTGGAAAACCCTTTACATTGTTGCAAGCTGTTGCTTACCACTTTTTTTGCCTTGCCTCTGGACTGTTTATATATTTTTTTGTTTGTTTGCTGACTGCCTTGACTCCTTTTTATCTGTTGTTTGAATTACGCTCTTGATTTATCTTTAATGCTGTGTTTGCTGTTAAGTTTGGACACCTGCCTGACTATTTTAATAAACTTAATTTGGATCCAAGCCCTGTCGTCAAGTCTCCCTCAACTCAATTCTCTTGTTTTATTCTGCAATTTCAAGTTTATCTCTAGGAATTTTGACTTTACCCTCCAAACTTTAAGTTTATGTTTTGCAAAAAATCTTACATATAAATTAGTAAATAAGATAGTATTAGTTAAATGTTTTCTATTTAAATTAACACAATTTCTAAATTTGTTTGATTCAATTGAAATAAGACAGACAAAAGTTTTACAGAAGGGATTTCACATTTTACATATTAAAAATATATTTTAAAAATGCTAAAAAAGACCCAAAAGACAGTGTTTTTACAGTGTTACCACAAAGTAAAAGAATGTTTCAATTGCAATTATAACTTTCATTCTGTGTCAAAAACAAGCTTCCAAACAACCATGAATTCTTTTTTTCACAAAACAAAATGTGTAACATATTTTAATATACTGACCTAAAACATCAAGTTTTACAATAAATGGTAATTCTAGTACTTTTTCTGAGACATGGGACCAATTCAGAATTTTTGTTTCTGATCATGTAAGTATATCTTCAGACCTCAATCCTTAGGGTTTTTCAATTGCATAGTGTATTTAATTAGGTATATTGTTTAAGGATTAAATTTATAATTTTAGTTTGTTTATGTACAATTAAAATCAGAATTATTAGCCCGCTTTGAACTTATTTTTCTTTTTTAAATATTTCCCAAATGATGTTTAAAGGAGCAAGGAATTTTTCATGTTACAAATTATTGTTGTAATGTGTTATGTTTTATGTTATATATATATATATATATATATATATATATATATATATTTATATATATATATATTACATGTATTTATGTTTATATGTGTGTGTGTGTGTGTGTGTGTGTGTGTTTATATATATATATATATATATATATATATATATATATATTTGTTACATTACATGTTATACATGTTATTTCTAAATCTAAATGATCCAATATATATTTTATACATAATTGACACTAACTACACTTTTAAAATTTTTATGTATTTTCCAATTTGTGTATGTGTATGATTTCATTCTGTTTATGGGTTTCTATTTATCTGTAAAACTATCCTGCTACTTCTGTAAAAGTTTATCACACAGATAAAAACAAAAACATTTGTTCTCTGTAGTTATTACAGTCTAATTCCATCTATCAGATGAAACGTTAAGCCCAGGTCCTGACTCTCTGTGGTCATTAAAAATCCCATAGTACTTCTCATGAAAAGTACGGGTGTAACCCCTGTGTCCTGGCCAAATTCCCTCCATCGGTCCTTACCCATCATGGCCTCCCAATCATCCCCATCCGCAGAATTGGCTGTATCACTGTCTCTCTATACTATCTAAAGCTGGTGTGTGGTGAGTGCCCTGGCGTCGTTGTCCTGTGGCTGACGTCACATCATTCAAGTGGATTCTACACACTGGTGGTGGTGTGGAGAGACCCCCCTCACATGATTGTGAAGTGCTTTGGGTGTATGGCCATACACGATAAATGCGCTATATAAATATACATTACTTATTCACAGTGCGCTTTGGCATTTTGTTCTCTCATTGAAGTGTCAAAGAAAGCGTTCGAGGTTACTAAAGTAACCCTTCGTTCCCCGAGGAGGGGAACGGAAGCACTATAAGTGGATTTGATGTTCTAAATCCACGTATGGGAGATTCGGTTCAGAAGCTACTCGTCTGAAAGAGTATTGAACGGGCCAATTAAGAATGAATTGGCAGCGCAAGCCTGCGCAGGTGTGCGGCATATGCAATCAACTGAGTATATAAGCACACCTGGCGCCAGCAGACGCTATCCTTTTTAAGCTGAAGAGACTTTTAACAGCTAAGGGACAGTCATTATGGCGACGGAGTATAGTGCTCCTCGGGGAACGAAGGGTTACTTTAGTAACCTCGAACGTTCCCCTTCGGGGGGAACTCCAGCACTATAAGTGGATTTGATGTTCTAAATCCACGTATGGGAGCCCATTGAAAGCGCCATAATGACTGCACCTTACCAACACCCAACATGAGAGAGTGGTCAGGCAAGCGTGACGCACCCAGATCATGAGAGGCGCGGTCCTCCAACGTGCCCTTGGCCCTAACTTATCCCACTTCAAAAGAAGCTTTGCGGAATAGGTATATTTTTTTGGGAGTCGTTAGCATCTAGATAATTCTAGGAATATACGACAGTACGTTGGGAAGCGTGCCATCCCAGTAGGGAGGACGCTGAGGAGACCATCCGCACCCAATAGGGGGAAACAAATGGAATTACATATGGACTAACCCTGAAAGGGGGAGTGCGCATAGGAAGGTGGTTAGCAGATAGGGAAAGCACGGGTCCGCCCAGGGGGGGGGACTTAACCGTGGCGGAAAGCATGTGGGGATCATCAGCGGGGATCGGCCATAGCAGGCACTTATATCCAAAACGCGGGCTGACCAGCGGGCAGACCTACAACGTAAGGGGCCAGCAAGTGACTCCTCCGCTGAGTCAGTGCTGGGGGCCTCGGAGGAATCTGCAGGGCTCACCGAATGGTGAACTTTACTGACAGACAGGAGGGTGCACATCTCTCCGTGTTAGGGAAAAAAGGCACCGCAAGTGTGTACAACACCTACCGAGTTGTTTCCTCAATCACCAAAGGTACCTAACACCCTTGAGGAAACCGGCTCTACTCGCAGATTATAAAATCTTGCGAATGTGTTGGGTGTCGCCCAGCCCGCAGCTCTACAAATGTCTGTTATAGAAGCGCCGCGTGCACACGCCCAAGAGGATGCAACGCTCCGAGTGGAGTGCGCACGCACTCCCGGGGGGGCGCGGCTGACCTCTGCTCAATAAGCACATGAAATGGCCTCCACAATCCAGTGGGATAAACGTTGTTTAGACACGGCACTTCCCTGCTGCCGTCCGCCATAACAGACAAAGAGCTGCTCAGAAGATCTAAAGATCTGAGTCCGGTCCACATAATGCGCAGAGCGCGAACTGGACAAGTAAGGACAGGGCTGGGTCTGCCTCCTCCGGGGGCAGCGCTTGCAGGGTTACTACCTGATCTCTAAAGGGAGTGGTAGGAACTTTGGGCACATAACCCGGGCGGGGTCTCAGGATAACATGAGAAAATCCCGGCCCGAATTCCAGGCACGAGTCACTGACCGAAAATGCCTCCAGGTCCCCGACCCTCTTGATGGAGGCCAACGCGACCAGCAGAGCTGTCTTCAGGGACAGAAATCTTAAAGATACTGTATCGAGTGGCTCGAAGGGATCAAATCGCAGGCTCGTGAGAACGAGGGCGAGATCCCAAGAGGGCGTGAGAGGGGGGCGAGTTGGATTAATTCGCCTAGCGCCTATGAGGAACCGGATGATGAGGTTATGCTTTCCCACGGTGCCACCAGCCACCGCGTCATGGTGAGCGGAGATGGCGGCAACGTAAACCTTGAGAGTGGAGAGCGACAGCCTACTGTCCAGCTTCTCTTGAAGGAAAGAGAGCACAACACTGATCTGGCAAGATCGGGGGTCTTCTGCGAGAGACACACCACTCAGTGAATAGACTCCACTTCAGGGCGTAGGCGCGCCTCGTAGAGGGGGCTCTAGCCTGAGTGATGGTATCAACCACCGCGGCGGCAGGTTACCCAAGTCTTCCTCGCGTCTATGGACCACACGTGGAGGTTCCAGAGATCGGCACGAGGGTGCCAGACGGTGCCTTGTCCCTGAGAAAGTAGGTCCTTTCTCAAAGGAATCTGCCATGGGAGGGCCGTCACGAGGAGGGAGAGCTCTGATATCCAGGTCCGGTTGGGCCAGAGGGGCGCAACTAACAGAACCTGTTCCTCGTCCTCCCTGACCTTGCACATTAACTGCGCGATCAGGCTCACTGGGGGAAACGCAAATTTGCGTATGCCCCGAGGTCAGCTGTGGGCCAGTGCATACATGCCGAGAGAGCCCTCGGACAGGGAATAAAACAACTGGCAATGAGCGTTCTCGGGGGAAGCAAACAGATCGATCTGGGCCTCCCCGAATCGCGCCCATATCAGCTGGACAGACTCGGGGTGGAGTCTCCATTCTCCAGAGTGAATCTGCTGCCGTGAGAGCACATCGGCTGCACGGTTGAGCATACCTGGGATGTGAATGGCGCGCAGCGACTTCAGCCGCGGGTGACTCCAGAGGAGCAGACGGCGGGCGAGCTGAGACATGCGGCGAGAGCGCATACCCCCCATGCGGTTGATATACGCCGCCGCCGCCGTACTGTCC